TCGATAAATTGGACAGCAAAGACAATAATTTGAAGAGTTTTCTTTTAAATTGAGAGAATAATCAAGATACTTTCCTATTAATCTATTATTCTTTCCCTCTTTCTGTTCTGTAAAAAAGTACGTTACGATAGTCTTTTGTTTTTTATTTGTTCTAAAACTGACTGTAAATTTCTTTTTACAGTTTTACGTGGCTCTTGGTCTTCGTGTTGGCGGTGTCAACGATTTCGCCGATGATTCCATCAAGCCATGGAGGAACAGGAACAGTAAAGCCTTGTTAAACTTCTGGAACGCAAAAGACAGCTGGTACCCGACCTGGTCTGACGCTGCGGTGAAAGTAGACTATGTCAGGGTGTACGCTTTGTAATTGTGAAATATACATGTGTTATATTTTTTTATTTTATTTCATAACAATTTAAACTTAAGACCAGTGTCTATTCTTTTAACTCGATGAAATTAGATTTTTTTTCTTAACATCGCATTGAATAGATTTAGTTACAATACTAGCAAGTTCCTAATAACTAGCTTAACGCTTATAAATATGTTTACAAACAACTAAGAACTAAATCTTAGGGGCAGTACTACCAAATTCTCATAAATTCCCTAATAATGTTGATTGATCATCCGTTAAACTTGTGGTTCCGCATACCTGCGCAAGCGAAGCTTCCGCGTACAGGTGGGCGATATGAGCAGCGAGCCGCACGGCGTTCGCTGCGGCGTGCCTCAAGGCTCCTGCTGTGGACCCCTCTGCTACCTGCTCCATGTAAACAGCTTGTGCGAAGTGGTGCGCCATTGCACCGCTTACATGTACGCTGACGACCTTTGCGTGCTGCGAGCGGGCCACGATGTCGACGAGATCAAACGCCTCGTGCAACAGGATGTCGATAACATAGTGAAATGGTCTCATGATAATGACATTGTTAATGGTCAAAAAACGAAAATGCTTATAATAAGATCACCATATATGTATTTACCTAACATGACCTGTACCGTAATAACTCATCCGTATAGTTGTTTTCACAATAATAGTGTCCATAAATGTAGTTGTACACCAATAGAAATTGTACCTTCTGTTACTTATTTAGGTTTATAAGTAGATTAACATTTTTAATGGTCAGAACATGTAGATTATGAATGTAACAAATTAAGAATATTGTTGGGTAAATTCTACCACCTAAAAGACATTGTACCACAAAAAATACTTAAAATCATGTATAAAGCCCTGGTAGAATCAGTTATTTCTTATGGTTTAGACAGCTATGGATTAACATTTAAATCGTACGTTAAAAAATACAGAATTTACAAATAAGTTTTTTAAAATTATTAGTCAATAGTAAAACTAGCCATAAATGTGAAGATAATTATTATAAACTTTTTAAAATATGTAAGATATTACCGGCTAGTCTAAAGCATAAACTTATCTTTCTATCTGTAGATCAAAAAAATAGAATAACTTAACTACTACACAATCACACCAACACAGCACTAGGGCAGCCTCTCGTGGCAAATACATAGTACCCAGAATTAATAATTATTACGGCGACAGAACAATTGGAAAACGTTTACCATACATGCTCAAGAGCGTCGGTGGCTCAGTGGTTTAAGCACTTGACTTGTAATCTACAGGTCTTGGGTTCGAACCCCGCCGTGTACCAATGTGATTTTCGATTTTTTGAATTTTCATATGTACATAATTTATCCGATGTTCTCACGGTGAAGGAAAACATCGTGATGCAACCTGCACATATCGACGAAGAAATTCAAAGATACGTGTGAAGTCGACCAACCCGCAGTGGGCCAGCGTGGTTGACTATGGCCTAATCACCCTAATTTAGGGTAGGCTCCGAGCCCCTCGGTGGGGACGTATAGTGAGCTGGTGATGATGACATGCTCAATAACTTACCACCTGAAATAGTAAATCTAAATTCTAATTTTAAACTATTTGTTAAACGTTTGCAAAGCCAACTTTTTGATAATAGCCCTTGAATAGAATATTTTATTTATATATTATTTAATACATAACAAGCTTTTATAGTAACAAAGGATAATAACACAGCTAATAGTAAAAATTAACAAATATAATAAGAAAAATAATTTTAACAACAAAATATTACGTTGAATGAATTGCGTTGCATCATTTTGACAACGGATTACTGTTATAATGTTACGGTTCCATGTAAGACTACTTCGCAAGATGCAAACTTCACTGCCATAAGTAAACTCAAAAACACAAAAAGTATAGTTTGTCACTCGAAACATAACCCATTGCCATGCTAGATTATCGTCTCAATTTCTCACTACTGAGTGATTGTGGGGACGGTATATTCATGTTATATTACAAGACAATCGTAAATTCATCTTCTCAAAACTCAACAAATCTATTTTCAGTCAAAACATTGACATTAACTCAAAATAAGACCAAATAATGTTTTCTTATCTAGTTGATAAAAAGATAATGGTCACTCGATCTGGCAGTCAAATTAGGAGCTCGTAAATTTGCTATTTTACCTATCCGAAATTTGTGGGACTGGATTTTCCACCATATCTGAAGTCATTGTGACATTCATGTAATTTCGACATTATCCAGAACTCTTTATCAGCAACCCGTGGGACAGAATCGAAAAGGTTTTGTATGGCGCTTGTAAAAAGAATGACATTGACATTTAAAACGTCACAGCGTTATCTGCTATTTAAAATTGGTGGGACAGAAATTTTGTATTTTATCTGACGTGACGTCATATTTCTACTATCAGGGCCTCTATCTACCACCGGTGGGACAGGCCCTAAATGTATGTATGTAGATAGGATTTTTCATCATCATCCAAATTTCGAACACTGCTCGCGAACCGTACTCACGACACAGGAGTAGAATGAACTCTAAACTACAGGATATAGGGTTCAATTTCGATAATTTGTATTTGATATTAAATATTTGTTGTCTTAAAAAGTATACTTTTTAATGGTGCTTGAAAGACAAATGAAAGGTCAAAATGCTAGCTCACCTAAAATTATAATAAATACTAATATTTTAAAGTAGATTTGTATTTTTGTATTGAAATAACTCAAAAACTACTGGACCGATTTCAAAAATTCTTTCACCATTAAAAAGCTACGTTATCAGTGAGTAATAAGGTATGTTTTTATTTACTTATTTATTAAAACTTGCACAACAATTAAAATACATAAGTTAAAAAAACTATACTAAAACAAGATATGTGCAAGGGCGGCCTTATTGCTATGAGCAATATTTTACAGGCAGTAGGACAGAAGCTAGACAACACTCAAGGGTATTTAGTAAATATATGTTTTCATTATTTCACGCGGATGAAGTCGCGAGCAACAGCTAGTCATCAATATTTTAGATTGTTTTTTAATTTTGCTTCTTAATAGTGGAAATACAAAAAAAACAAAACCGTTCAGATAAAAGGAATTATCGCAGTAGGTGCTCTGCGGTACAAATGTTTGACCTTATACATGATTATATTTAATTCCGTATCAACTAATATAAACATTATGACGTTGACAATTGAAGTAAAAACCCACGTGAAGTTAATTTGTCCAAGATCTTTTATTAAAGATTAATTAGCAACTGCTGTCGCCCCCCCCCCTCCGCCACTCCATCAGCTCCGAATTAAAAAATAAACTTAAGAAGTTCTTTCAGACTATGTTATACATCTTTGCCATCTTTGAGATGTTTTGGAGTATCGTTACCAACATCCATCCATCCATACATCTAAACTTTAGCATTTATAATGTTTGTAAGAAGATTACCATGTCATCTAGAGGCAGAAACAATACAAGGTGGAAAGATGTGCTAAAGATAGGGAAGTGGAAGACACTAAGTTCTGACGTCAACACCAACACCGTATGACACGAAGTGGGCAGAGAGAATATTTTAGCCATCAGAACATATTTGCACTGACGCTTTTTAACACTTATAGTTTATGGTTTTAGAAATTTTTAGAAATTCATAAATATTAAAATTTGTTTAGACAAGGAAAATTCACGAGACAGTTGATGCAGAATTGATTCTTCACTGTAGACTAGTTCTTTTATAAAAAAACGACATCAGACATTAACATTTGGCATTTATATCAACAAGTTTTTCATTCCGCATTTGACCGTCGTGTGAGCTGGACGTTACAATGTTAATTATTAAATTGTTACTCTTCAGTGCATGTGTATTACCAACAGTGATCAGTTTTACAGTGCCTAAACCGAAAATCGAAGCGATATATCCTAAAGGATTCAGAGTATCCGCACCAAGTAAGTTCTTTAAGCTTTTAAATTCAATAACTAACAATGTTCTCGGTCTTTTAAAACTAGTTTTTATTGCCGAAATATTTCTACAAAAAAACATACAGACGAATTGAGTACCTCTTTCTTTTGGGAAGTCCGTTAAAAAAAATATATGATAATTCATTACTAACGTTTGAAAAATAACCTAAAAGGATTAAAACAGTAAATTTATAGTAACTTACTTATCCTTCAATAGTTCATTTGACCTCAGTTTTAGAGCTTTAGAAAACTATGATATTATAAGATAAAAAGAGATATTACATTTAATTCACGATACCGGATTAAACGTTTGCCAGTGAGAGATTTTTAGGGCGCTTATTTAACAATACTTTAGAATTAAGAGTTTAACAGGCTATTATGAGACAGTGTATTTCACGCCATTTGCTGACCAGTACCCCGGGCTACCTTTCCTCCTTAACGCACACACATATTTCAATGTACTTTACTTAACTTTTTTTAGATGACGGATACTCGTTTTATGGCTTTCGGAGTAATGTGAACAAACAACTGGATGGTTTAGAAATGGGTCAATATTCGAAAGATATACCCTTCCCTGAAAACGATCAATGGGTGTATCAGGAAAATAAACCCAAATTAAAGCTCGGGGATACAATCTATTATTGGACTTTTGTATTAAAGAACGGACAGAGAAACATTCAACAAGGTTCATGGACTGTGACAGGTGAGAAAGAGAACCTGCAAACGTTTGTAATAGATGCCAAAATATCTGATTATAATCTGCATCAGTACTTCTGCATACTCGTGGGCACGAACATCTCACTAGCCGCTAGCGTTTTCAAGTACCAATTCAAACTGGTTAAAATCTCTTAACAACCCGTTGGATGTGAATATACCATTTAAATTGTAAGTTGTAAAACGATGTCTGCTCTAAAATCTTTTAAAGGCGGTATATAGTTAAACTTAGGAATAAACTAAGTATAAGCAAAATTTGTACTAATATTTGTTTAAACTCAGTTTACTTCTAAGTTTAAACTTAAACAAATAAAAGCGGTATAAAGTTAACTTGATACCGCGTTTATTTGTAAGGCTGCAAAGGTTTACGCAAGAGATGTACGAACATTTACCTTCTGTCATTTGAAGGAAAATTACTTGATCGATTAAGCGCTGTATTTTAACATCGCAAAATAGACATTAAAAATAATCTTAAACCTTTCAGGATTTGTTAACAACAATGGCATATCTGTCGATGAGGATGGCAACCCAACTCGGGTAGAGTTCGTCACCGACTCACCGTCTATTGTTTTTGATTCCAAATTCGGTACACCTGCAACTTTAAAACCAGAAGTGACTGTCACCTCGTCGTGTCAAGAATCACAAAGCGCTGTTCTCGGTAAAACAAAAATATGTAAAGGCGATCTTCTTTTCGCTGAGGAATTTGATAAGAGTGATATTAAGGAATTAACTAATTGGGATCCAGAGGTCAAGTTCCCACAAGAGCCGGTGAGTTAGAAATGACAGAAACTTAATGATTAATACGGCTATCGATCGAATGGTCTTACGTTCGAATCCCGCCATTCTAATATTGTTTATTGTGAACTATTAACAAAGTTCATTTACTGATAATCTTAGCTCAATGAAAGCTTGTTTCCACGCGGAATCCCATGAATAACACAGAATAGGAACTAAATATATATCTATACTAATGTTACAAAGATTTGTATTTTTGTATATATTGAAATAACTCAAAAACTACTGGGCAAATTTTAAAAATTCTTTCTGCGTTAGAAAGGTAATTTATCTGTGAGTAACATAGATGTTTTATTTTAAATATAACGCATGCGAAGTCGCGAGCAACAGTTAGTATTTAATAAACCTGTCTTACTTTTTATATTGACCAAAATTATGAGTTTTCTATGAAATAAATTCTTCAACAATGTTCTAAGCGCATCTCTTATTATTAATCAATTTGCATAATCGTAATATATTTTGTAATATACATATGAGAATCATATAAACCGGTATATCTGATGTAAGCGTATGTTTTACAATAAATTATATACAAATATCACAGTCTATACTATACTAATATTATAAAGAGGAAAGATTTGTATTTTGTATGTATTGAAATAACTCAAAAACTACTGGGCCGATTTTAAAAATTCTTTCACCAAAAGAAAGCTATGTTATTAGTGAGTTACATAGGTTATATTTTGTATTGTCTTCTAACCTTACGCGGGCGAAGTCGCGAGCAACAGCTAGTGTATATGTATTGTAAAGCATAGATATATCAAAATAATAATACTCATGCAAAAATGATCACAAAATAAATATAATTTACTAGCTGTTGCCCGCAACATCGCTCGCGTGAAATTAACAAAATAGTTAAAATACAGCCTGTTACTCTGTAATGACGTAGCTTTGTAATGGTAAAAAAAAATTTGAAATAGGTCCAGTAGTTTTGGAGTTATTTCAATACATACAAAAATTCAAATCTTTCTTTTTTTATAATACGAGTATTAGTATACATATAGATATAGACAACATAACCAGTTTATACCGCCAATAAAAAAAGAACTACTAAGTTCTTACTCTACTTACTAAAGTAGGACATGTGTTGTTCCAGACTATATGTCCTAAATCTAACAAATAACATAGTAAAAGACATGCATATATTCGCATTTCTTACATTAACATATGATAGCTAATTATTATAATAAAATACTTCCTATACAGGATTATCCATTCAACGTGTACATGACGGATTCTTTGGGACTTGATAAAGGCATCCTCTCCATTTCCCCATCCCTCTTGCAGTCCAAATATAACGAAGATATTATAAATGAACGCTTAGATTTGGCCAACACGTAAGTTATTTTATGAATTCTACTTATTGAATGTTTTTTAAAGTTAAAAACGAAACAATTAATGCAATACGAAAATATTAAACATTTTAATAACGATTTAACTCATAATATACTTAACTATATTCTGAAATTTAATCTTTTGGAACATCCTCAACGTGTAGCGTTAATAATTATTTACTATAGAAGTATTTTTTATAGTTGCACAGGTCGCATGGGGACGAGGGAATGCGCTCAGGTCGCATCTGGCTTCCTTATCCTGCCTCCCGTCATCACAGGCAAACTAACAACCAAGAATAAGTTTAACTTTAGGTTCGGCAGAATTGAAATCAGAGCCAAACTAACCGAAGGAAATTGGTTGATACCAGGTAACATCAGTCTTCTGCTGTTCAAACCATGAGTGTATCTTGATTGTGGAGTAAATATTCAAATTATATCCGACATTCTAGGAAAGAAGAAACTTAAAGTATACAATAGACGAGCCTAGCATGAATGAACTGTTTCATGTTTCATGAAATCCTAGATTTCTCTTTCAAATGTTAACCGTGTTTGCTTTTCATTTCTGCTTTAAATTAAGACTTGCTTATAACCTTTATGACTTTTGCAGAGATAACATTGGAACCTCGTGACAGCGTGTACGGCGACCAACGCTACGAGTCAGGTCTGATCAGAGTCGCCTTCGCCAAAGGGAATACGCTCTTTGCTAAGAAGTTGTACGGTGGACCGGTGCTGTCAGATTCGGAACCGTACCGAACCATCCACATGAAGGAGAAGACTGGAATCTACAACTGGTACAAGGACTTCCACAACTACAGCATGGTGTGGAAACCAGGTCAGTAAAGTATCAGTAGATTGCTTTATTTAGTGGGAGGAACATCAAAAGCAGCAGAAGTAGATTGCCGTATTCATATTATGGTCTTAAACTTAACAGTACAGTTCGTAAACTTAACAGTACTCTAGTCTAAACAAAGTCTTAATAACTTTGGTTTTTTTATTCGCAATGTGGCTGTCCATAAACATCTACAAAAGCCACCTCTGATCGACTGAGGATGGGGCACAGAAAGAAGGATATTTCCCTTTCCCATGCATCCCCACCTCCCTCAAATGCAGTTTCCCTTTCTATTATTTCCTTTTTCTTTGCAGATGGTTTAGAGTTGTTTGTAGACGGCGATATGTACGGTACTGTTGACCCCGGCGAGGGATTCTTCTCGTCCGGTTTGAAACATTCAGTGAAGCACGCAGCGCAATGGTCACGCGGCACTGCAATGGCACCTCTCGATGAAATGGTATGCATTTTAAATTATACAATCCTTTCACTATAGCAATGTCCGAAATCAACATCGATAAATTGGACAGCAAAGACAATAATTTTAAGAGTTTCCTTTTAAATAGAGAGAAAAATCAAGATACTTTCCTATTCATTTAATCTATTATTCTTTCCCTCTTTATGTTCTGTAAAAAAGTACGTTACGATAGTCTTTGGTTTTTTATTTGTTTTAAAACTGATTGTAAATGACTTTTTACAGTTTTACGTGTCTCTTGGTCTTCGTGTTGGCGGTGTCAATGATTTCGCCGATGATTCCATCAAACCCTGGAGGAACAGGAATAGCAAAGCCTTGTTAAACTTCTGGAACGCAAAGGACAGCTGGTACCCGACCTGGTCTGATGCTGCGGTGAAAGTAGACTATGTCAGGGTGTACGCTTTGTAATTGTGTTAGTGAAATAAACATTTGTTATGTTAATACAATTTTCTTTTTATTTCATGACAATTTGGACTTAAGACCAGAGTCTACTCTGTTAACTCAATGAAGTTGAAATTAGATTTTTTCTTAACATCTCTTGAATAGATTTAGTTACAAAACTCCTGATAACTATTTTTACAAACAACTAAGAACTAAATCTTAATCTAAATATATCTGATAGATACGTTTTTTCATCGTCATCTACAATCTGATGTTCAAATCATACTCCACCTATTGACGATTCTTTAAAACATTAAGGTAATTCAGTGACATCACTGATTCTCGAGTTGTAGGCAAATATACAGGTGGAATTAAAATCATTGCGCCGTCGTCCGTCATCGAAGTCGGACGTCATGGCGTGTAAATCTATTATCGTGAGTGTTTTAGCATGGGCTGTGTGGTGCGATGCTCAAGCAAGGGCTCAGAAGTACACAGTACCTCCTGCAAAATTAGAAGCTATTTATCCTCAAGGCCTCAGAGTTTCGATACCAGGTAATTCGTTAGTTTTTTATTATAATTCATGTCTGTATCGAATTCTTTAATTAGTTTTCGTATAAGTTTTCCTTGTTGTAGTTTTACATCTTTTTGTGTAAAAAATAATTATTTCTAAGCAGGAACGATTTCTTATTTCTGATCTTTTAAATATATTGCTTTTCCCGTTATCGTGAGGTTTAAGAAAAAACAAAAGTTAGTAGTCTATGTGGTCTTCCAGACTATTCTAAATGTCTTTGCCAAATTTCATCGGGATCCTATCAGTCGTGAAGGCTACAAACTCTAACAAACATCCATCCATCTAAACTTTCGCATTTATAATATTAAAAATAAAAAGATTACTAAGAAGTAAGATGTAAGAGAGTATGAAATTATGTGGTAAGGGAATATGAAATCAAAATACACTAAAATCTGAGATCCGTTAAATAAAGACATAGATATACTATTAAATAAACTACTAAGCAAAGTTAACTTGTGAAGTTATTAATTTATTAGAGCTATAAAAGGTTATATTGGAAATTTATTTTGGTATCTAACAGTTTCCGAGGCCTAACCTTTCTAAAAAAAATAATTCATCAATCGATATGGATTCCTGCTTAAGCGTGAAAACGTTAAAAAATAAAATGTGTCGTTGAAAGGAAAAAAATGTTCCAAGTTTTGTACTTTTTTATATCCACATAGAAAAAATGCGGGGTCATTTTCCTCTACGTGATTGTAACCATAATTACAACAAAAAAAAAACAATCAACGATCATCATGTAACCTGATTTACTAGTTTTAAACTGTATAGTGTGAGAGACGGTTGTAAATCAAGGATTTATATTTCAAAAAAAGATAAAATTCAACCAAGCAATTAGATGCAATTTAAAATGGTGGTCATTATAAAGATTTTCATCATCAATCTGTTTAACAACATATTCAGAAACATATCTAGTCATGTTTAATACTATAAATGCGTAAGTTTAGATGGATGTATGTTTGCTAGAGTTTGTAGCCTACACGACTGAAAGGATCTCGATGAAATTTGGCATAGACATTGAGTATAGTCTGGAAGAACACATAGGTTACTAAATTTTGTATTTTAGAACGCCACGCGGCCGGAGTCGCAGGCGAAAACTAGTACAGTAATAAGACCATCCACAATGTCATTGACACTATAAACTTTTTACATCACAGATTGAATACATCAATTGCACACAGCCAATGAACTTGAGACTCTCCGAATTTCACGCTAGTTACATCGTTGTCGAGCCATCCAGTTTAAGTATATAAAAACAAGTTTTAAATATTAAAAGAAATAATAAACCTGTTCATAACACGCCTTCAAATACATAAGACTGAAGGCTATTCTACAATATTTGTTTTGATACAGACCTAAAGGTATTTAATAACCGAGGATTCAACTAGCACGATCAAATTTACATATCTTTTTTAAGAGGTAATAAGGGATATTAGGAGGGATAAATTACATTGTTTGAATCTTTAAGCAGTGCACAACAATCCGCATCATTACGACTAGCACGAAAATTTACGAGCTATATAGTTTCATAGACAAAATAAACGCGTCTTGATTGTACTTTATGCCAAATACTGCACAGATCTAATACAAATTGTGTCTACGATTACTTTCTCGTAAATTTTCATGATATAATGCTATTATGCTCAAAGCTTTATCAAAAATCTAATTGCATTTACTAATAGAGAAAATAATAACATTTTAGATGATGGTTTCTCCCTCTTCGCTTTTCACGGTAACCTCAATCAAGAAATGGAGGGCTTGGAGGCCGGACAATGGTCTAGAGACATCACCAAAGCAAAGAACAATAGATGGACGTTTAGAGATAGGAATGCTAAACTAAAGCTTGGAGATACAATTTATTTTTGGACGTATGTTATCAAAGATGGATTAGGTTATAGGCAAGATAATGGAGAATGGACAGTTACTGGTAAAGAATTTATTAATTGTAGATAGTTGGTTATTTGTAATTTCTGTTTGCGACCAGAGTTAATAGCATAGATTGATCATATACCAAATTTCAGAGTTTGTGAACGAGGACGGAAATCCAGTTGATGGACAAGCGACGTTATCCCCAAACGTGCCACCAGTGGTATCCCCAACTGTCACAACCGCACCAAACATCCCAACGAGAGGCACATCTGCCCCGCCCTGTCAAGGTTCTGTGACCGCCGTGCTTGGTCGCACTAACATTTGTAAAGGTGCATTACTCTTTAATGAAGAATTTGATAAGAATAATATCAAAGATTTGGTTAATTGGGATCCGGAAATTAAATTTCCTCAAGAGCCGGTTAGTAGTCTTTTAGTTTAAGAAAAACCATCGTCAATTTAATCATGAAAAATGTATTTGTAAATGAAGATTCCTTTCAGGACTATCCATTCAACCTGTACATGGCGGACGGCACTCTCAGTGTAGAAAATGGGATCTTGTCTATAAATCCAGTACTTCTTGAATCTAAATACCACGAGGGCTTTGTTAATGAACAACTGGATTTGTCTAACACGTGAGTTCTACCTAACTTAGTCTTACTGAATATTATAAATGCGAAAGTTTAGATGGATGGATGGATGTTTGTTAGAGTTTGTAGCCTAAACGGCTAAACGGCCTAAACGGCCTAGACGATAGTCTGGAAGAACACATAGGTTACTCACTTTTGTTTTTTATTTCACGTGGACGGAGTCGCAGGCGAAAGCTAGTAAGCTATTAGTTGATTAATAGCAATAAATATTGTCAAATTACTTTTTGACTGTTAGATGAAATATGTTATTTTCTTCATCAGATGCACTGGTCAAATCGGCACCAGGGAGTGTAAACAAGTCGCCTCAGGAGCACAGATCTTGCCGCCAGTGATCACAGGGAAAATCTCAACTAGGAACAAGTTCAATTTCAAGTTCGGCAGATTGGAAGTCCGTGCTAAGCTGCCCAGTGGAAGCTGGATAACACCAGGTCTAGACCATTATAAAGTTATATAGAATTCTATCCAAGATTTAAAAGAAACAAACGATAGTCATTTTCAAACTTAGGGTAGTTTTACGCTTATCTTCAATCCAGACTACATTGATTTGTTCTTTCAGAGATAACATTAGAGCCCCGTGACAAAGTTTACGGCGATAAGCGTTATGAGTCCGGTCTGATCAGAATCGCCTTCACCAAAGGGAATGCGGTCTTCGCGAAGAAGTTGTACGGCGGACCGGTTCTGTCCGACTCTGAACCATACCGCTCCTTCCTCATGAAGGAGAAGATAGGAATTGACAGCTGGTACAAGGACTTTCATAACTACAGCTTGGTGTGGAAACCAGGTGAGTTAAAATGATGATGAATGCTGGGTACTACTCAAAGAGGTATCCAGCGCTGATATTCCGCGAGAGAGAGAGAGAGAGAGAGAGAGAGAGAGAAAAAGAATAGAGCTCAAACCAGTTTTTCACCCATTTTTCTTTGGACTTGTCCGACTTTGACAGTTGGCAATGATCATTGAATGTCAACAAAGCAACTCAATTGCGGGATTCTTTCATAAATTTATAGGCATTTTAATTTATTTCTTTCAACAGACGGCATGCAGCTGTTTGTCGATGGAGAAATGTACGGCACTGTGGACCCTGGTGAAGGGTTCTATAATACGGCGAGACAAAATGCGGTACCTCACGCCATGCATTGGGTGAAAGGATCAGTTATGGCGCCGCTCGACGAAATGGTACTAAAAATCATTATTTGAAGTATTTTATCAAATTATTCCTTAGTCGTTTAGGCGTAGGAGATAATAATTTTTCCATAAGCTCACTATAGTTAAAACAAAATGAAACATTGTTATGCAATTTAAATGCCATTCATCCAATAGACTTGGAATTGAAAAAAAATTATAGTAAGTAGCCTATGTGTTCTTCCCGAATATCTTCTACGCCAAATTTCACCGATATCCATTCAGCCGCTTAGACTATAACTTCTAACAATCATCCATCCGTCCATCTAAACTTTCTTATTTTTCATTTATCATATTATTAAGATGCATTCTTACAGTTCTACGTCGCTCTCGGCCTTCGAGTGGGTGGTATTCATGACTTCACCGACGGTCCTGAAAAGCCTTGGAAGAATAAGAACAACAAAGCAACTGTCAACTTCTATAACGCTCAAGACAATTGGTTTCCGACTTGGTTCGATGCTAACCTGAAAGTGGAATATGTTAAAGTCTACGCTTTGTAATTAGTACGAGCTATTTTATGTGCTCCTGATACAGTCGCGGAAAATCGCGATGTTCCAGGAGAAAGATTCTTGTTCATTCTCTTCCTACAAAATAAATAATTAGATAGCAGTAAGTGATGAAGGGATAATAATAAAAAGAAACTAGCCGTGTGTTACTGCATCTTTTTTCGTATTTCACACTCATAAGCTGCGTTGTTTTGGTTTTTGTCATCCGTCTTTCAAAATGTTCAAACGATTGTAGCTTTTGATGTGGAACACCGACATTTTCCCCGATTGTACTACAGTTATAGACCAAGATTCAGTTTTCTTTCCGTATGTTAAATTATCAAAAGTGCCTTTTTTGTTATTTACGAAGATAATATATCTAGTTTTGAAAAGCGCTAACAAGCACTAGGTTAGGTTATTGCAAGATATTTATATTGAAAATTTAAGATAATGTAAAAATTAATGAACAAAATACTCAAGATGTTATAGTTGTGATAAATAAAAGTTACGCAATATTTGAATTAGTTTTATTTATTTCCTCACTCAGATCTGTTACAAATAAAACAAATTATAAGGTTAAAAAAGTTTTTAATGTACAAAAACAACAAAAAAGTCATTATATTGTAAAAAATAGATAATAAAAGTCCATATATGTATAACTTTAGTATCAATAAAAGTGTTCAGCATTCTAGTTATTAAACTAAAACACTTATCAACTATTTTCTGTATTGTTACTATTCATATTAATATTATAAATGCGAAAGATGACTTTTAGAGTTTGTAGCCTAAACTACTGAACAGATCTCGATGAAATTCGTGAATGATGTAGAGAATAGTCTGTAAGAACACATTATTTTGTTTTGAAATCTTAAGCAGACGGAGTCGCGAGCGAAACCTAATTATTAGATAAAACAATCAGTGTATAAACCGCTGGGCTGCAGTCTAGACGTCATGGCGGTTACTTCTGTACTCTTAATACTAGTCTATCTTTTTTATTGTGATGCCCGGTTGCCGCTCCAAGACTACATTGTACCAGAAGTAAAGCTGGAAGCGTTATATCCAAGGGGACTTAGGATCTCTATTCCAGGTGTGTTATTTACTGCGAGAAAATGAAATTGTAATGACTTGGAAGCTTTTGAAAATGTGCGTTAAAAATTCAAGTATATGTTAAAAAAATAATTGATAGAGTTGAAAAATGTAATATAACGACTACTTCAAATAAAATCATTAATAACCCTTTCACCAAGAGTAGATAACTATAGAAAATTTTTTAAACTAGCATATTGTTACAAAAACACAAGCCGTAAATCAACACTTAAGTTTCAAGAGAAAAATCAAGCATTCTCTTCGCCCTAAATTCTTGACATTGCACTATCAAAACATTATTTAGGAATTGACCATTAGATTGTTATTTAGATAAAAAATAAACTTATGAAAAGGTCAAGACCAAGAAAGATATAAATATATATTATATTATAAGTTTTATTATAATTTTATAGTAGTATTTATATAAATATATAAGACTTTCTAGACTCCGCCTGCGTGGAATTAAAAACAACAGTAAGAAGAATATTTGTTCTTCCAGACTATCGTCTATATTTATACCTAGTTTATCGAGATCCGTTCAAAAGTTTCGGCTACAAACTCTAACAAACATCTTTCTATCCATCTTTACTTTCGCAGTTATAATAATAGTAAGATAAGATACATTTATGAATATTATTAATCAATAAAATAGTTTTTGTATAATTTTTCTGGTACAACTCAATTCCGTAAAAACCCATTCTTTAGCACCAGTATTGATAGTATGACCTTTTCGAAGGTTATCCGACCAATGATTGCCGAAAGGTCCTAAGTTATCTAGACAAATTCGAAAGTTTTGTTTCATTGGATTACGCTGATGCAAATGACATATTCTCGAACCTGAATTTAAACCAATCAGCACAAAACAAAACATCACTTTGTACATTCGTTCCGAATTCAAATATAAAATAAATGCTTAGTCAACTTTTTTTGTAACAAATATTTATTCTAAGAATTATGAATACACTTTTGCACGCGATTCCATCTGCGTGGAATTAAAATAAAAACAAAAGTGAGTAGCCTATGTGTTCTTCCAGACTATCTTCTATATCTATGCCAAATATTATCAAAATCCGTCGAGCCATTTAGGCTAGAAACTCTAACAAACATCTATCCATCCATCCATCCATCCATCCATCTGAACTTTCGCATTTATAATATTAGTATGATAACTATAAGTTTATGGGCGTTATTTTACTTTTACTAATATTTTAAACGCTAAAGTTTAGATGTATATTTGTTTTTTTAAGATACGTCTAAAACGTCTTAACGGGTATAGATGAAATTTGGCAAACATTTAGAAGTTAGTCCGGAAGAACACAACAAAACCTGTATACATAGAAAGATTACACAAAATGTATATTTTTGGGAATTTGCGTTTGGAGTTTGGTTTATTTACCGGGGATTTGAGATGAGAGAGAAAGACGTCCTATCTGTTTTATTTACTTTCTATTGTGACGCGAGTTGAATTAGTCGTATTCTCGCGAAAATGTCGTGAATTTATGACAAAAACTCATAAAACATCAATTGTGAGTTATCTTTTTATGACAAAGGCTACTCAATTTTTTTCCCAATTCCGCTCAGACGGAATCACTGGAGAAAGCAGATGTTAATTTATTCCTTCATAACTAAATAGGGTATTATTATTTTAGACGATGGTTACACACAGTTCTCTTTCCACGGTAATCTCAATATTAAGATGCACGGTATCGATATGGGAACGGTCTGGCAAATAGATAATGTCAATTATGAAAATGGCATCTGGACGCATACCGATTGGGTAACACAATTGCAACTGGGCGACAAAATCTACTATTGGGTTTTGGTTAAGAAGAACAATATGCGATACGTACAAAGCAATAGGGAATGGACTGTCACCGGTAAGAAAATTCTCGAAATAATCACATCTAACCTGATATGTAAACTGTTTAAATGAACTATATAGTATTTAACAATTACTTATTTTAGTTTTTATTTAAAAAAAAGAAAAATGTTGCAATTAAAATAAAGGTTAATGCAGTGTATGTTAGATTTTTTCCATTATTATTTTCATTAGAATATAATAAAACTGAACTACAGAAAAGACGAATCGAATGAATGTCTCATTCAATCACGTCAAAATTGAGTACTTTACGCTGTAGACTGTCATGATAGAAATTACATACATACAAACGTTTTTGTCAGTCCGGTAAAAATAATAACGGACAATATGAATTAATAATTAAATAACATATATTTATTCTGTTATTCAAAACAAATTCTTTGATTTCAGAATTTACACAGTTAAATGAGAGTTCCGTGGAATCTACACCGGTGTCGTTTACCACTGGACGTACAAAACTATCAGAGACAACAGCGGCTACAACATGCAAGCAGTCACCAACAGCTGTGTTAGGACGCACAAGTATATGCAAAGGCGATTTACTATTCAGCGAAGAATTCGTAGACGAGAATATAAGTCAATTATCTAATTGGACGACTGAAGTCATGTTTCCGCAAGGACCGGTAGTTATTTTTTTGTTTAACTGTTAATTAGAAGTTAAATGTTATTAAAATGTTAAAAATTAACGTAATTTTTGTAAACATAGCTGAAATAATCGATGTTTTAAATTCAACTCATTGGGTTGAGCAATAGTTGATAATAGATGGCGCTGACAACAGTTGTAAATATATTTTGCAATGATTTAAAGTAAAAGCATTATTTAGATCAAATATTAATTTATTAAATAAAAACATATTATTTTATAAAAAAGTTAATTACAAGATTGTAATCGTTTAAGTTGCAAAAAAAATATGGATGAATGTTTAATAACGTACTGGCCGTCAAGAAAGCATTAGACATAATTCGGATTTAAAAAAACAACCACGATTTTAGGCGCGATTAAGAGTGTAAGTGCAAATTTTAACAATTCGATTTTACTAATTATTGTAAATAGTTTATGTGTTTATCAA